TGAGAGCTTAGGGTTTAGGGTTTTGCGGGCTGTTCTTAGGAGGAAGCTAGACTCTTTTCGCCTGAGGCTTGTAGGCCTATGTTCATGAGGGTGGCCATGGCCCCTCGAATTCTGGAGCATGCTCCGGTGAAATTCAGCTTGCTTCTTATGTTTAAGGGTTCAGGGTTTGGGGGCTGAGGTTTCTGGATCTTGGCGGCCCAAGTTTAGAATTCACGCCAACTTGCTGGCCCTGAATATTTCCAGGGGTATGGGTATGGGTGCCTGGCATAAGACTTGACACTAGGATTTCTCAAAGTAGGCCTAAGCCAAAAACTAAACTATAATTAGGCCCTACATCCCCGGGAAGGACCCCTGAAGTTACCTCCTAGTTCCGGTAATCCTTTCATACTAGTATTAAACACACCCCACACACACACACAAACAATGCATGTGTCCTAGAAGAGAACTTACATATTGGAGGACATATTTCAATTTTAGCGGTTGGGATGTGTTTAAGAGTGGTATGAAGTAATTGCTTCAGGGCCCCTCAGGGCTTGGGGTTTAGGGTCCCCGGTTTTGAGAAACCCTTACATCAGCCCCACGCCAGATGCAGATACTAATCCTCAGCCCATTGCCACTTTAAATGCGAAGTAAAAGTAAACAGCACCTAAAACCCCTCGGAAGCTAAACAACCAAATCCCAAGTCACAGCATACTCCCGACCTAGTCAACAAACCTAAATTTTTTTGAACCCTACATCACAACGGAATCAAGGATTCTGGGTCGTCGCTTCTGGTCATAGAGCCTGGCGTGTACGACCGGCTCATTGGGGAACTGAAATGGAGGTTCACCAACTGCCATAACTTGCCGGAACAGCAGATCATGAGCCTCGGAGCCGTTGAATTGTCTAGGATGCAGGGTTAAAACTCTAAACCCTCCCTTCTGTCATATGTAGGGGTTTCCCGAAATTAGGGGTACCCTTTTGGGGGTCCTGATTATACGGATGATACTATTTTGGAATGTATATTGGGGTAGGTTTATAGAGCTGATGCAACCTGGCTTGCAACGAGATCTCCAAAATCTCAAAAAATTGCCTTTCATGTTAGCACTTGAGGGTGTGGAAGATGATGTCCGCAAGGTTCTGCATTCAAGGCTCTTAGAAGTTGAAATCTGAGACCTAAACCCCTAAACCCAAAATTGAGGCCCGAACCGCTTAAACCCCTGAAACCCTAAAGCATGACCTTGAAAGCTGAACCCTCAACCTTTACTTGCCGAGGAGCCCTCAATGGCGTCAAATTGCAAATGCTCGCACTCGTATATATATATATATATCCCCTATATATCCCACTATAGTAGTTTCTATTTTCTCCCTATATAACCCCTATATATCTCTTTTTTTATAGCCCTTGCACTACTAGATGGAGGGGTTCAGGGGGCTCCTTACATTACCATGGTACCCCGGGACCCTATTCGAGTTACGTAGGGCCCTACAGTTTACAAGCTTACAGCAGACCTATATATAGCCATGAACTAAAGCCTAAACCCTAAACCTCAAAATCCAGGAGTTGCGACTGTCCACCTGCCAATGATTTAAGCCGTATTCCGCAGCTGGCGACTTGTTTGTTGAGTAGGCTGACGGTTTGGGATCTACGGCGTTCGCTTTAGGGGTGTATAGGGTCACGTTGGAATTTTCGGGTAGTAGATGGTATTATACGAATTTGCAGCGTGATTCCAAGCTTTAGAGGGCATGTTTAGGATGAATTACCGTGTTCCTGTGCGTTGGACATCGTCCTACTGATTGAATAAGGCAGAAAAAGGTTAGGAGCACTAAACAAGCCCAACAGGATTGGTCATTATCCCCTAATCCTAAACTTGAACACGGCGCCATAACCCTTAAAACCCTTAAAACCCTTAACCCTTAACCCTTAAAACCCTAAACCCTAAACCCTAAGGTGATCAACGTGATTGACGAGTCTAACCGACAGTTTCCTCTCTGCATGTCACCGGATGAGTACATCTTAGAGTCTGTGGACCCGTTGGATGGAAGGCCACTCGGCTCATTCAAACATGGCTTGGGGTTTAGGGTTAAGCCCCCAACCCTAAACCCTTCAAACCCTAAACCCGAAACCCCAATCCCATGGTTTAGGATTTAGGGTTTACGGTCTAGAGTGTCCCCGCACCCAAATTGAGCACGGAACCCCCCTTTAGAAGACAGACGTCTAGACAAGAAGTCCACGTAGACGAATTTTTGGGAAGGCATCTGGGAGTTTCCAAATTTAGGGCTACCTTTCAAAGTCTTTGTAGCGTTTATTTGGGGGTGTATAGGGTTTAGGGATCAAGGATTAGGGTTTTCGGGAAACTTATGCATGCTAGTTTGGGGGAAGGTGGGGTGTAGATAGCCGTGGGCCTAGGGTTTACGGTATAGGGCTTTAGGGTTTAGGGTTCGGGCTCCAGGTTCAGAGTAGTTACGTAGACGTTGCGTAGGTAACCTTTGCCCTTTCTGGCAGTGTTGCTCCATCGCCTGCAGTATGAGGAGCATTGTGATTGTGGGCCTATATCATGCTTAATCCACGCCACATAGAGAACACAGGGAAGCGAGACCAGAGAATTGAGGGGAATTCTGGAGTGCATAGGGGTTTCCAGGGATCTTGGTATTCGATTGCAAACGTACTTGACCTCGGTGCCAGGTTTTCGAAGTCTCCACTTTTAAGTACCTAACTACTGCTGTAACTAGGTGATGGTTGCCCCGAACCTACGGACAGTTTCCAGGCCTATGAGTGGCCGTTCGACAACGGCTGCAAAACAAAGACACCACAACCCAACGATCATCTCCCTAGGTACCTAACAGGGGCATTGGGTTAAGGGCATAGGGTTTTTTATATCAACGTCTAAGCAGACCATTCCAAAAAGGACCTCCTGCGTTCCTTCGATTCAGCGCGGCTCTGACAGTCAGCCGGTCCCGCTGATCTTCGGAATGACCTTCATGCGGGCCACTGCGTTCCAAAGTCTCTTAGGGTTTAGGGCTAGGGTTTAGGTAGTTAAGATTTCGTGCAGTCTCTTTTACTGGGCATGAAGATGGTATGCCAGAGGCTGAAAAGCTATGGTCTACGTGACGCTTTGAGATTATTGACAATGCCCTCATTGTTGTACAGGGAGGCCTATCCATGAATGAATTCGGGGGCTTTAGGTACCCCACAGTAAATACCCAAACCCCCTAAAGGATCCAAAAAACGGAACCCCCCCAATATGAACCGATTACTACATTGGGGAAACTAGGGGAGCATTGGGGGGTTCCATTTTTTGGATCCTTTTAGGGGTCTGGGTAAGACGGAACATGCACAGGCGATCTAGGGTGAGGTTGCGGTTCAGGTTTAGGGTTTAGGGGGCTTCGGGCCTAGGGTTTAGGGTTTAGGGTGTAGGGGAGGGTTATTGCTTGTGGCTGGAGGGTGTAGCTTCCACATTGTAGTCTGAAGCCATCCCCTACACAAACAACACTTCCCCACCCCAGAACATGTAATGGGATTGTATTTCGTAGTATTTGTCCTAACGGGGGTGGGGAGGTACATTATGGGGGAGGGCGGGGATTCATCCCCTGTAACAGACCCTAAACCGTAAACCCTAAAGCCTTGGGGTTCTAGGGGTCCTCAGTCCTGAGCATTAGGATGATCGGGTTTTGGTGCACATAAGGGGACCCCACTTTGGAAATGCCGTCCAGCGCCACCCTAAAGAGGGGGACCATCTAAGCCGGGAGACCCAACAACTGAAAGAGAACGAAGCCTACACCTTCAGTGCTGCCCCCCCTCAGTAACAGTTGGATAATAAGTATAACATGGTTATATATATCCCTTATAACAGGACCCCTAATATGGACTGTTACTGGGTGGGGGCAGGACCCAACCTCCACCCTAAACCGCTTTGATTTCAGAAATAGCCCGGAGCTCCACCTCCTAACTCCAGAAGCTCGGTGGTTTAGGGTTTAGGGCTTAGGGTTTAGGGTTCAGGATTTAGGAGAAAACCACATGAGCAGTTACAATTAGGCGCTCGATCAAAGTTACTTAGCTACGGAATAACGTCGGAAACCGGCTGGCGACAACTTCCGAAAAGTGGTTCCCACTGTGCGCGCGGAAGATCGCAGAAGCTTTCGCGGAAGCACTTCGCTTGCGGAAGCTCCTGCGGAAGCTCTTTTTCCATCCTCCGAATCCCGAGCACATGCTTCTATGGAGATGGAAGAT